TGGAATACTCAACTGCTCACGGTGCATTCCTGTTGCTGAGCCTGTTAGTGATGATTTAATTGGCTGCCTACAGCTGGCTGACTTGTAAGCACTTAAAAACATTTCTGTAAGCAGGGAAGAAATGATTGTCCTTTCTCAATGACAATATTGCCTAAGGTGGGAAATAAAAGATCATACAAATCACATTTAAAGTGTACTCAAGGAACACAGTTGGTGGGGAGGGAAGAGAGACTGACAGAGTTTTCTGGGTTTTCTGTGGGAACTGCAGCCCCACTGCTGCAACTTTTTGTGCATGCTTGTGTTCGGTACAGCAGTGATAGTTATTTTAAAATAAGAAAATATATTAATAGGTACAAGAATTTATCACCAAATCCAGCCTCTTCCAGTTATCTTTGGCTTGAGAGGAAGTTGCTTAATTCAGCCTTTGAGGCTGTAATGTTTCCAAAGCATCTGAGCTCCAAGGACTGTATAAACAACCATTTCTCCATTTTTCTTAAAAAATGGTTATTCTGAAACGTTCAGTGAACAGTAACTAAAAAAGCTTCTCTACCGCCTAAAGCCTCAATTCTCCATGCTACCATATCTTCACCTTTTCCCTTCCAAATCCTTTTGGTGAAGTCCACATGGGATTGAGAAAGTCTCTTTCTTGAGCATTTCCTTGTTTCCACCACAGGCAGGCAAAAGGCTTATTTTCTCCAATACTAAGAGAAAACAAAAAACAGATAGCACAGCATTTATTCACCTTGGTTTACTATAAAAGAACAGAAGTTATGTGTAAATTGAAATCTGTTTATAAACATGGTGAGTTGCCTAAAGGCAAATGATTTTCACAGCTGCTGGAAGGAAGGAGAACAAACAGCACAGAAACCCACTCCACCTGCCCCCTGACAAATGGTTTCACCTGATCTCCACAATCCTGCTGGTGCACATTCCCTATTTTATTTTGGCATCCAACAGGAGGAAAACTGAAGTCCTTGTCCTGAGGGAAAGGAACCACAGCTGCATTCTGGGATGCATCAGCACTGGGAGCAGAGCTTGGAGATACTCTAAAGCCATGTTACATTTGCAGCTTAAACTGAGTTTGCTCCTAAGCAGAGAACAACGAGGCACTAGTACAGACCCAAACGGTACAGCTGCATTTTAGCTGGGCCACCCCTCATCTCCCTAGCTTTCATTTTTCTACTCACTGCTTACCATGAGCTCTGAACATAACCTACCTGACTTGTCAATTTACAAGGGAAATAAAAAGAGAAGTTAATCACTTCAGCTGGAGGTTTTTTCCTTCCTCTGCAGAAATAAATAATGCTGCTAAAATGACAATGTCTCTCCAGGGAGAAATGACTGTCCAGTCTTCATTAGTATCCACTAAAATTAGTATGCACTTCTTCTCCTCTTGAGCACCATTAACTTATTCTGTAAGTGTTCAACTTATTTATTTTGGAGACAATAGTTTTTTGATAGCCATTAAGGAGACAAGTACTACATAAAAAGGTCTGTAAAATATTTGGTAAGAGCTTAGTGATACATTAGAAACTAAACTAAAGGCTTCCTGACACAGCAATGAACTGAACTCAATTTACAATATTGTTATAATAGAACAATACCAAACTGATGCCAAAATACCCAGATTGCTTTATCCAAGAGCTTTGCTCACTGCAGAGTGACATACAGAATACTGATACACAGTGGTTACTGTATTAAGTAACCTTAATAAAAAGCTCTTAACTGATGAGGTAGACAGCTCAGATTCCTTGTAGGCCTACTTAGGAGGCAGTAAAGAGAATAAATATCTATTGATACTGAAAAAAAAAAACCAAAACAACATGTTAAAGGGTATTTCAAAGGGAATATTCTGTCATTAGGCCAAAATCTGCTGTTAAAGTATATGTCATAATACCAGTGTAGTGGTTGTCTTGTTTTTTTTTTTTTTTCCAGACAATTCACATGACTATTAAGCACAAGGCCATTAGCAATTCAATGCAGCATTATACATGAACAAATTGAAAGCTTCAATTGGCCATTGTATAAGATGGTCCCTTCACAGCAAATTCAATGATGCATTAATTGTTCATTTGTTCAACGATTTACAGACTCTGTGAAGACTCCAGCATCAAATTCTTCAGAGCCTCAGACAAAAAAGGAACAATAATGACTTTGATAAATGAAGTACTAAGTATCACTAAAAAGTGCCCTGTCTCACTTGTAATATAAAGAGAACAGACATTAATTGCATTTTATTTGGATAGATTATTTTTTATTAAGTTTTATTTTAATATCTAAATAGAGCTTATATTCTTAAGACTTGTCAACTGCTGCTTAATTTGTGACTATTCTTCCTGTGTCCTCCTCACACTTACAGGCATCCAGTACACCTGCAGGGGGAAGCCTGCAAATGTGAACTCCAAAACTAGCAGAAGAATCTGACAACACAAGGAGCCAAGAGATGCCTTAAGCACTTAGAAAGCAGCACACTATTGTTTCCATTTTAGGCACCCAATCCCCAAAACAGAAAGCTAAAGTCCCACAGGTACCAAACTCTGCAGCAGCACAGGAGAGTTCAGTGCCCCAAGGAGTCTCCATGCTGGAACCCATCATCAGCCAGCTGGAGAGGTAAAAGTCTCCAGAGCCCCCCTCTGCCCAGAGAGGTTGTGGAGTCTCCTCTGGAGAGATCCCAACCCTGCCTCAACCCAGTGCTGGGCACCCTGCGCTGGGTGACCCTGCTTTAGCAGGGGGTAGGACTAGATGATCTCCAGAGGTCCCTTCCAACCCTCACCATCCTGTGATTCTGTGAAAATGAGACAACTGGATCAGGCCTGCACTAGTGGCTGTCACTTCTGCTTATTTGGTATCCAAAGTGCAACACATACTGTGGGCTTGCTTTTTAAGTCCCCATATACGAATGGAAGCTGCAATCAGTGCCTGGTGCTGTGTGTATCAACTTGTTGCTTAGAACATCATTCCTGGGAGCTAGAAGCCTGGGGTTCAAATACTTGGGTACATCTAAATATTTTAAACAAATCTGTCCTGTGATTTTTAAAAGGGGTTGTGAGTGCTGAAGAAAGGTCAAGCAAGAGCAAGTGGGAATGGAAGAAGAAAAAGTCACCTAAATCAAACCTGGAAACTCTGATTTACTAATACAGCTTCACAAATGCAATAACAATTATCTGGGAGGATCTGGCAGTCACCTAAAACCAATGGAGTAAAAAGACATGTCTTAGAAAAGGTGACTGTTGGTATGTGATTAAAAAAAGCTCTACTTATATGTTTTAGGCACTTAAAATTTTAATCTTCAATCTCTGTAATAGCCTTTTTTTTTTTTTTGAGCCTCAAGATAGGTGCTAGGAATTTTTCACTTTCTTATGAAGTTACTGTCCTCCACCATATGATCAAAATAATCCATAAAGAAAGACAGCAAGTTTTGCAATATTTTCATATAATTACATTCCTTTTTTTCATATCACATGAAAGATCACTTTTATTAAATATATATGCAGATGGAAATAGCATTTTGGGTTCTTATTCTGCACTATGGTGCAATTCTTCAAAATAAAAATTAAGTTTGCAGGAAACAACATATTAGTTAGGAGACCTTTAGTAAAAGGAATAGCCATAAAAATAGTACTCAGTTTATATAGGAATTTGATCAGTCTTTTGAAGAAAGAATCAATAAAAAAGCCTGAGATAATGACTGGCTTTTCAGATTGCTTCCATTTTTCCTCTCAATTCAGTTTCCTGTTGTGAGTCTAATACTTCAGGCAAACAACATAATATCTTAAACCTCTGATAAACACAGACTAGGTTAGATGGTTTTAGGGAAAAACAAAATGTAAATTCAAAAAAGAGCTGCTTTTGTAAACAGTTTTATTCAATCTGAGAATTAAACATTTTATTGTCTTACTGAGGCTTGTAGTGAGACAGCACATGTGTGATTAAACTTTTCATTCCCTATACTAAAGAAAGGGTACATTTTGATAACAAAAACAGTGGAGACAATACCTTATTGTCCCCACAGGCCATTAGCAAGAATCAGATAATGAGCGAGGGTGGATGGCACCTCTGGATATCATTGAGTCCAACCCCACTGCTCAAGCAGGATCAAACACAGTAGTTTGCTCAGGACATTGTGCTGTTGGACTTTAATTATCTCCACAGATGGAGACTGCCACTTCTCTGAGAATCTTGTCCCAACGTTTGATTAGCCACACAGCAAAAGAAATTTCAGAATATTTCTTTATGTTTAGATGAAGTTTCCTGTCTTTCAGTTGTCTCTTGTCCTGTCACTTGGCACCACTGAGGAGAGTTTGACTCCTTTTTCTCTACTCCCTTCCATCGGGTATTTATACACAATGATCCCCTGGAGCCTTCTCCTCCCAGGCTGTCCCAGCCCAACTCTCTCCTGCTGGGCTCCCAGCAGAGGGGTTCCCCCTCTCTCTCTCCATTGCTGGGGCTCCTCTGACCCCTCTCCAGCAGGTCCCTGTCTCTGCTGTGCTGAGGCCTCCAGAGCTGCCCTGGCAGTGCAGGGGGGTCTCCCCAGAGCAGGGCAGAGGGGCAGGGTCCCCTCCCTGCCCTGCTGCCCATGCAGAGTTCCTGTCCCCTTCTGGGCATGCTGCTGTATCTGTTAATGACAGAAATAACTATCTAGGATGCACAGTTAAGGAAGTCTAGCAAAAGGAAGTTTATCTTCACTCACTCACTTTGGGAATGAAAGCTAGGGAGATTCTGGATCCTTCCCTCAGAATTCCAGCCTTCCATCCTGCAGTTCTTACCCTTGGTAATACAACCAGTTACATCCCACTTAGCATGTTTGCTATGGTGATTTAAAAATTTTCTAGCACCACCAAGAGCTTGCTCTCCAGTCCTGACAGCAAGACCACACTTTTAACTTGTTGGAAAATGCACTAAGGCATCATGAACAATGAAGTTAGGTCTTGAACTTACCACTCACAACCTCTCACCTTACTCAGCTTTCACAGAGACAACCAGCTGAGAAGCTATCTCACCTGTGCAAACTTGTGTATCTGCTCCACCACGGCTGCAAAGAGGGCGTGTACACTTTCATCAATTAAACTCTGCATATAATGGACAGCTTCTTCATCAGACAGGTCCAAACGAAACTTGTCCTGCACCTAGAACGGGAGCAGAAATGACAAAAATTAATTTGGTTCAACAGTTAAACATACACTATTCTATCCAAATTGTATGGTAGCAGACAAAATTATTTTAGTTATGGAAGTCTAGTAGAGAATCTCACATTATTTGCAGAAAATTAATTGCTGCCATCTAATCACGTGCTTTATTCTCATAAATGTCAATGGTGTTATCTCTTGTGGAGACCATCGTATTCATCTACTTCAGTCTCTTGCATAATGAGCTAGGTAAAATGGTATTAAACATTTTTTGCATCAAGTATAGAAGTTCTAGTTTATCTGTGAGAAATCTCTTTTATGGAGTCTTTATACTGAGACAGAATGCTTCACATCCTAGGTAAATTGTTTCAATGATTAATTGTCCTATTTAGCATCTGTGACTTATCTCCTATCTGAATTTGTCCAATTTCCATCTCAAACAGTTGAGCCCATTAAAACTTTTTACAATAAAGAACTGTCCATCAGAAGTCTCTCTCATGTAGGCAAGTACAAAGTAACTTAAGCTGCTTCTTAGGCTTCTCCTGCATGGCTAAGGAGACTGACTGCAGGACAGAACCAAGTCTTCCCTGAACATGTTCCATGCAGTCAGGTTTTTTTTAAGCACTGACTAAAGTTTTTCCTTGACTTCCTCTTAAAAATAAGTCTGATCAATATGCAAGAATAGATTAAGCTGAAAAAGTTAAAACCCTCATGGAAAAAAGTTCCAGGGAGCCATTCTGAAGATCTGTAATGTTAATATTACGCAACTTTAATCTTCGTAACAAACACGATGAGAAGGAAGTTTATTATCTGCCACAGACATATTAGAAGGTTGACAGCCAATGAAGCACACAGAATCCCAACGAATTTAATGAACTATTCAGATGCTTGCAATTATGCACAAACTTAAATACCTCTGCAAATTAGAGCACAGACTTCTATCAGATCTATTTTCACGCTCATAGAAAATGTGGTTAATAGAACTCAGCAAAATTGCTAACTAGAGTTTCAAAAAAATATAAAATCACTGTAACACTCTTTTACACAACTTTAGTCATCAAGCAATCTTGATTTGTTTATAGACGAACGTCTCAAGGAAGTCTTTAGTTAGTGATGTTCAGATGCAGCTTCATTCTATGGAGTTAATAACTATTTAAACCAAATTCCCACCTTCCGCAGGAACAGACTGGCATACATATATGGGGAAAGAAGCTTACCCACAGTTAGATCTTAAAATCAGTCTGCAATTAACAGCAGGATCAAACGCTGCTGAGTACTACATCTTTGCATTAAAGTTTTTCAGCACTGTCATTAAAACTGACTGCTGCAGCCTAGCCAAGAAGAATCAAGGTGAACAAATTATCGCTTGAGCTGCAACAGCAGCAACAAGATTAATATACATTGACTTATAGTTCTTGTAACAAAACCAATAGTAATTCTTATTTGAAATCTCAGTGTTCTAAAGTGAACCATGTGTTCACTTTTTTAAAAGCCAGCAGTTCCTCACAGAGGAGGTGCAACTAGGAAGAGATTTTTGAGTGGTATAAAAGAACTCCCTGAAGTTAATTTGGGGGCTCAAATTCTGGTGAGTTATACAATTATCTCATTCTACAGTCTTCAGAAGAATGGCCATCATGAAGGCAACAAAAATGCCACACCTGAATTATTTAGGGTTCTCACTTTGACATTTGAATGAAGTGAATTGTCTTAGGTTAGTCATTAGTATTTGTCAAAGAGAAAATAAACATACTTCATGAACTTGGTTAAACGTCTGGTTTGTTTCCTCAAAGGAAAGTTTTAAACCCCACATCATATACAGACATTGATTCTAAACATCTGGTCTCAGCAGCAGAATTTGAATGTTTAAAGGATGCAAAAGCAGGATAAAGAACTACAACGTCCATGAAGATATTAACATTCAACTTCAAGGCTTCAACCTGTCCACCTCCCATGGCCCTGCACAATGGGCAGTTTAGTAATAAAGTGAGAAACAACAGGACTGCACGTGAACCTGTATGACTATACATCTTATTATACCTCAGTTAGATCTGAGGTGTCCTGTAAGAAAGCTACTGTCAGTTATCATGATAGAGATTTTCAAAAGACAGAGAAAATAAAAATGAAAAAAGGAAGAGGCCCTACACCACAAGGGTCAGTTCACAAGAAAACATGGAGGGCTGCGGGTAAAGGGGAGAAGCATTTCAGTGCAAATTACTTGGAGCTGAATTGATGATGAGAACAGAAAAAAGCTGATCATCATTTGCTGCAGAATCACAGAAAGCATGGGAACTCAGCAAGGCAAAAATCTAAAAGAGGAAAAAAAAATACTTTACAGTAAAATCACCAAGAAATACCACTTTGCACTGTGCTTATCCCACCTAAAATTACAGGTTTATGAACTACAGTTGAGGTAAACTCAGGATCAAAGCACTTCCAAGAGTAGGAACTAGATAGTCAGTCGCTTCTCCACCTCCCAGCACAGAGTGACAAGAAAACAGTTAACAGATGTAATGTTTTGTTGGTTGTGTCTTTTTTGTTTTGTTTTTATGTATGTATCTCAAAAGTCTTCATGCATTTCACTAGTGCTGCTACAGGCAATGAGTTTGTTGCTGTCTGCAGAGATTGGAGATTACTGCATTAACTAAAAGATCCTGGGTTTTTTTAAGGCAAAGATGAACTTGTACAGTACTTAGCTTTACTACGGTTGAAAGTTGCATTTACACATTTTATTTATAATGGGATCATAGATTGCAGATACAACTTTATGCTTTCTAGCATAGTTTAAATATAAGGTTTAAGGTATTATTATATGTGAGGCTGGGAGGTGAAAGAACAAAATCAGTTTTCACTGTACTTTTGCTGAAAAAAATCCCAACCAAACAAAAGGAAAAAAAAAAAAGCCCCAAAACCAAACACAAACACCCTGTGAGACTCCAGTCAAACTAATATTAACTTCTTTTCCTCCACCTGCCAAAACCAAACAAAACATCTCAACCCAAAATCAAGTGATCACTTCATTCACCTACAGTAAAAGAAAACCCCAGGATCCTGTCATGATACAGCCTGACCAGAGCAAACACTAGCTATAATCCCATACCTTGAGTTCCAGGGTAAGTAAAGGAAGTTCCAAACCACAAATGTTGTTATGGGGAAGCAGAGCATCATGACAGACAAGACTGCAGCAGAAATTAAACTATTTCATGGAAAGTGCTGGTATTCCTGACCAAAACAAAAACCCCAAAACCGTAAAAAAACCCACAAAACACTAAACTAAAAAACCTCTTCTAAAGACATGAAATTTCCAAACATGTAATCTTCATGTATGTTTATATTTGATTTGATATTTCACTAGAAAAAGGGAATTTGTAAAGTTAACTGAGAGGGGAAGTATAACATCTACTAGAATAATGGGCAGCATTAGGGGCTGGTAAACTCACACTTCATTTTTGCTGGAAGTGTTTTCAAGAAGAACTAAAAAGACTATACTTTTGAAAACGGTATCAAACACACTGTATGAAGCCAATTTCATAGGACACTCCCTGTCACGCCCACAGGGCTGCATGCTGTATAAAAATCAGGAAGGTATTAAAGAGGAAAGTAAATACTCACAAAAACCCTAACTTAAAAACTGCAGTTAAAGGTCTGAGATCACGGCAAACCTGTGTCTTCATTCAGTTCTATGAATCTCCAAGTTTACCCACCTCTTTGTTTTGGTATTTTTTTATTTTTGGAAGCACAACAAGCTTTGGATTGAGATGTTGTACACAAACCCAGCAGGCAATAGGGCTAGTGTAGTTAAGTGCACTTCACAGCAAAGTTCCAAGATTTTCACTTACACTTTTCCTCCTTCACCACAAGACTGTCCTTTCTCTCTCACCAAAGAGCGGATTTGTTTATTTGTGTGGAGGTTGCTTTTTTTCCTTTGTCCTCACTGCACAGTGACCCTGACCAACTGTACAGTATAGGTCACAGTTACCCCTGTATTAAACCTAGGAATTTTTCTTTCTTTACCAGCAAGCATCTTCTCACTGCTAAAATCTAAAATAACTAGGTAGTTAAGGCTCAAGGTTAAGGCAAACCTTTTAAAAACTCTCAGTGAGGTTTTATAAACTTCAGGGCAGTATCCAAATCCATGCCTCATGAACATTTGTAGCTATGTTTTTTGTAATTAATGAAGAAGGTAGTAACGTACTTTGAAGTAACATACTGCATGTACCCATGTTAACTCTTTAACATGTACCCTTTGTTAACTCTGTTCAGTTTTCAGACAAATTGCAAGTCAGCCATTATGAAGACTGGTGGCTGCTCCAGTACTTATTCTTCCAGCAACATTAAGCAGCACTGCTTGATGCCCACTAGCTGCATGATTTTATCACTCCAATATGGGATTGCTCATTGCTAACTCAGCCACTTTAGTGTCGTCTTTCACTGGGTCACAATACACACTGGATGTGAACACTCTCATGTCCTGGAACAGAACTAATTATATTCAGTGATTTTACTTTTCAGCTGTCTCTTCTAACTGCACTTTCTGAAGTTAACAGCAGACTTCCCCAGGCAGTGTCTGCTCCCAGCAGAGACAGAGAACACTCCATGTTTAGAGTTACCACCAAGGGCTGGTGTGCAGTCCCAGGTCACTGCTGAAGCTTGTGCACCACAGAGCAGGGTCAAAAGAAAAAGCTACAGCGTGCTTTCTTTTAAGCCACTTCCTCACTTTTGCTGCTCCTGCAGTTGCCAGCCTCTAAGGAGGACTCCATCCACCCTGCCTTTCATCCTGAGCCGTGTGTTCCTGAATCCAGCTCCAGAACCCAGCTCCTGGAGCCAGTTGCCTTCTGCCGCCAAGTCCGGGGGCTGCTTTTCCCCAGGGGCTGCTCCCCAGCATCGGGGCTGATGGTGACGTACTGATATCGGGGGGAGTCAGATTTGATACTGGTTTTGTGTATATTCCTTTTTATTATTATTTTCATTAAAGCTCTTTTACTTTTCTAATCAATAGGTCT